TGTCCCGAGACAGTAAAAATAAATGCTGTCGACACCTACTTGGTGCAGTGGCCTGATAAGAGGGCGCACAAGACCCAATTCTGTTTGGATGTGTTCCCAACTCCCTCACAAGAAGTGAGGTTTGAGTGCTGACTGAACTAATGCAGTAGGGCCGCAGAGCTTGGATAGGACCAGGAGCTTCATCAAGGGTCCTGAGTGTTCCACGCTTGTGTTCTTCCTGGTGAAATAGAGAATTCACTCTCAAGGACTGGGAAAAAAATGCAAAAGCCTGAAGGACCAGGCCAGCATATTCACAGAAAATTTAGTTGGATGCCAAGAAGGTGTCTTATGGCCCAACTTTTGTTAATGATTAAGATAAATATAAATGATTATGCTGTCTACTACTGGGAGAATTCTAGAGTAGATTATTAAGACTGTGGTTTGTGAACACTGCCTAAAGAAAGAAAGGGGCCATTGAGAGAAGGGTGGGATCACTAAGAAAGTCCTATTAAACCTGCTGTCCTTCTACGCTGGCTTGTAAAAGTGACCAGCAATGCAAGGATTCGGGAGATTACAGAATGACTGGGTTTCAAGCGGCCAAATGGGTTCTGGGCCAGAAACTGTGGCTTCTGTCGAATTGTAAACAGCCCCAGTTATTCTTGGCAGCACCCACATTTCAAGTGTTCATCTTTGGGAAAAAATTGTCAGTTATTGACTCTTTAGAAGAATAGCATAGAGAAACTGAGAGCCTAGGCTCTGTGGAGTGCAGGCCCTCAGCAGCTGGCCTTTGCATAGCCGGTAAGAAGAGATGGAAGAACAGGTTTCTCAATAGTTAGATCCATTTTAAAGATATACTGTCTAGTTTATTTATATTTTAATCTTAGCTCTCCTACTTGCTAACTTCTGGGGCAAGCTAACCCCCTTCCCTGTGCCTCAGTTACCTCATCTATGAAATGGAGATGCCAATATTAACCTCAAATGCCATCAGTGTTTAATGAGCCATACTGGGAAAGCCTTGGCCCACATCCCGGCACACAGGTGTTCCACAAATGTTAGTTCTTATTACTATTAGGGATGACAGATCGTTGCTCAGGGAATGGTTAGCTAAATATATCCCAGAATGGAAGAGCCACAGCATGGTCCGGTGGGTTATTCATCAAACATGTTGCTGTAGACTGTCACTAAAGAGAAACGTGGAAACGTGAGCATTTTCTCCCTGGCGATGCTTCTGACGGAAGACGGGAACATTGTTTCTCTTCTGACACCAACTAGTTCTGACACTATTTGGGCTTCCTACAATGTAATGCAGTTTTGACACTACCCAGAGTTAACAAGGGACTCCGCAGGTGGCTGGTGCATTCACACAAGATTGGCCTCACAGCGCATAGGAGTAGAAGACTTATCTTGATGTTGCATGTGCTTAGGGGGCCCCTGGCTTCTATTCCACGTGTGTTGGGAGTGTGGGTTGTGTGGAATGATGGGGATTCTGGGCCATCAAAGTCCCTGTAATCCACCTTTGACTGCAGCTTAGGAGAAAAAAAGCAAGCCAGGGGATTTATCACGTACTTGATTCTCATCCAGTCTGGAGTTTGCTATTTCTGCAGAGCTCGCCTCCCATCTTCCACTACCCTTTAAGGGAGCTAACTGATGGCTGTGTGCTTTGTATCAGTAGGTAGGGAAGGAGGGTTGGGTACCCAGAAAGACCTTGAGTTCTGCATTTATCTGACATGCAAATGTTCCAGGAAAGTGCTTGTAGGTAAGGCGATAACCCACGCATTGACCCTTCTATGGAATCATAAACCGAGACACGGGGGCAACTCAGAGAACTAAAACCTTCTCTCCATGCCTCAGTGAGAATCTGAAGGACTCTGTCGAGCAGCTGTTCTCAACCTCCATAACGCTGCAACCCTTTAATACAGTTCCTCGTGTTGTGGTGACCCCCAACCATAAAATTATTCTTATTACTACTTTATTGCTGTAATTTTGCTACTGTCATGAATTGTAATATAAATGTCTGGGTTTTCTGATAATCTTAGGTGACCTGTGTGAAAGGGTCATTTGACCCTCCCAAAAATGTTGCAACCCACAAGTTGAGGACCACTGCCATAGAGGATGGCTTTAGATTTCTGTGTGCATGATGGGGAGAGACATTATCCTTCTCTCTAGATGCAAACTACCCAACCTTCTCAAGATGGCTGTGCTCAGGACCCCTTACACTTTTAAAAAATATTGAAGATCCAAGTAGTTGCCATTTTACAAATTGAAACTAGGAACTTTGAAATATTTCATTTCCATTTCTTTATTTTTAAAGAAATAATAGATCTATTGTATGTTACGAAAATATTTTATGAACAATAATTTTATCTTCCAAAGATTACCAAGAGAAAACTCACTGTTTTACATTTTAAAAGATTTATTTTATTTGTGTGTGCGTGTGCCTGTGCAAGTGAGTACAGGTGACCATGGAGCACAGAACTGTCACATCCCCCTTGGAGATAGAGTTACAGGCAGATGTGAGCTGCCTGATATGGATGTTGGGAATCAAACTCAGGTCCTCTGCAAGAGCAACACATACCCTTAACCACTGAGCCATCTCTCCTGCCTCTGTTGTATGTCTTTTAACAATATCTTTAGTAATTAGTTAATCAAGCATCTGGACTCTTAACCAGTGTTCCATATTTTATCATCTGTGATATGTGAATCACACTGACTTGGTCTGGAACTTCTAACAACATCTTTTTAGGAGAACAAGTAAGAAAGGAAGTGATTTCCGTCTCAGAATCCTTACCTAGGGGCTGTGACCTCACAGATCTCCAGTTTTAAAACAGCTGTCCCACACTCTAGGGAAGATCTCCATGCCTCTAACCTGCGTTGGCTGGTTCTCTTTCACCTGCTTGTGAAGGGATCTAGGCTGGTGAGAAACAGGACAGTCGCACTTGCTCAAACAGTATCCTCCCAAACATTTCATAGAATTCAAGTTCCTCCAGATGTGAGAAGAAATAAAAGGGCACCAGACATTCTTACCTGTCACAGTTAGGAACAGCATCAGCACACTTTGCAATTGGCTGATTCAGGGCAATTGACAGCAGGAGAAATTTAGGGTGAAACGTTGATTTAGAGCAGAGGTTCTCAACCTTCGTAATGCTGAGACCCTTTATTACAGTTCTTCATGTTGTGATGACCCCCCCACCACAAAATTATTTTAGTTGCTACTTCATAACTGTAATTTTGCTACTGTTATGAATCATAATGTAAATATCTGTACTTTCTGATGGTCTTAGGTAACCCCAATAAAAGGGTTGTTCGATTCCCAAAAGGGTCATGACCCAAGGTTAAGAACCACTGATTTAGAGAGGAAACAGGCATAATTTCAGTGAATCACAAAAATTTAAGATTTCTATATTGCATGATTTTTTTAATGTAAACAGTTCAGATTTTTCACAAAAAAGGACCCCTTAATTATGGTGGTGATGGGGTTGAAGGCAGAGCAAGAAGACAAACAGCTCCTCGAAGGCAGGCATTTATATGATTCATCTCTGCCCTTCCAGGCTTCCAGCTTTATAAAGAGCAAGCTTTTCCCTTGGGAGCCTTAAAACATAGAAGAGACCCACTTTCTTTGAGTCACAGCCTTGGCTGGAGAGCTGAAACTGTCTGAGGCCTGGCACTATTAGGGTGTCTCATAAGGATCCTTCCTACTTTCAGTCAGAATGCAGGGTCCTCTGATCTCTACGTGGTGTCTGATTTAAGAGAAAGGTCACCTTCGATGGACCAGGTACACCTCTGCAGGTGTGAGAGGTTCCCATGAGAACCGATGCAAAAGTACAGAAATGATGCTCATTAGCATGACCTATTCAGGATGAATGAGGGCTCTCTGTCCTTAGTCAGCCATTGTTGCCAAGATCATCTTTCCCTACCTCTAACTCCATCACACTCGAATGCCCATTACTTCACTCTCACTCTGCCCATGCAGTTCTGTGAGCACGGATAGGTGTGGGTTTTGATGGAAGTAGGCCAGTCCTTGTTGACAAGAAGGCAACATTTTTTCCCAAGAAAATGAAGGTCATCATGACTAATGCATGGCACAGGGACGTGCAGGCATCCTGACACACTAATTCTTCTAGAAGGATGTGTCGTTCTCTGCTGCTATTTAGATATTCTGGGTTTGTTGTATCCTTCAGTCCCAAATGCAGGTGCCTGGAAACCTGCATCAAGTAACCCCTTGAAGTCAGACTGCTTCTTGGAACATTTGCTCTCTCTTTTTAAATTGAATTTGAATTAATATTAGAGACTCATATGTAGCTGTAAGAAATAATACACAGAGAGAGTCCTCCTACACATTCTGGAATCTCCCCAGTAGCAGCATCTTGAAAACCACACTATCAGAATGTGGCTTTCCTGACCCTGGAGGGAGACACACTGGGGAATGATGAGATACTGGTCCTTGAAAGGAGGGGCCACAGAAAAGAAACAGGAAGTTGACCACAGATGTCAGGGTTCCCTGGGCAGAAGTGTCAAATGGGTTGCAAAGATTCAATAGTGTTGTTCACCTTGTCCCCCAGGCATCTATGTGATGAAAGCATCATCAAAATGTCAGGCAGCTCAACATGCTACCTCAGGTCTCTCTCTCTCTCTCTCTCTCTCTCTCTCTCTCTCTCTCTCTCTGTTCTTGTAAAGCTGTTGGTGCCATCTTGGGGACCCCATTCACCCCTAATAACATCCACACATTAAATGGGTTAAATGCCCAATACCTGTCCTTATAGGGGACATGTTGAAATCATCCGCAACATGAACTGCAAATCCTCATCTAAGTAAGAGTATTTCTTCAATGCAGGGAGCCTAACAGCTGTGTCTTCCCAGCCTGTATCTGACAGGAGAAACAGCCTCTTGCAGCCTCCCCTCATCTCCTTCTCGCAGTCCACTCTTATCTCCTTGAGGGTAGCTCCTTTCAACAGTTTCCAAAATAACAGCTATGTATTGCTTTTCCGATTAAAATCAAACAAAGGCTTATATGATCTTCCTATTATTGAAAAATGAAAATACAAACAAAAAAAAGAGAGTGAGGTAAGGAAGAAAATTAAAATTAACCACCATGCACGGTTAATATTTTGATGTGTTTGTGTTTACTTCCTCACAGACTTTTGTTACTGTATGTATAGGCGTGGACTCTGCATCAGCAGGTTCTGCCCCATTGAATTCAATCAACTGCAGATTGAAAGTATTTGGGGGAAAACTGCATCATCTGTGAATATGGATGGACCCTTTCCCATCACTATTCCTGAAACCATAGAGTATGAAATCCATTTACAGCATTGGTACTGGACTGGGTGCTGCTAGTCGTCCGGAGACTTTGTGAGGCACATGGGAAGGTATGCAGAGGTTCCACACAGAGCCTGCACCACTTTGTACAAGGCGTTTTTGCCATCTGAGGGAGTCGCAGAATTGGCCCCTCTGGATATGGGAGGGCAGTATTTTTAAATTTTAGAATAATATATGTGTGCGACTTAATGTCCTTAACAAAGGAGCAATACACTTAGTTGTCCTATAAATGAAAGCTATTGTTTTTATGACAATTTAAAGAAGCTGACTTTGGACAACATCTTAGGTGTGGCAGGCAGGCGTTTGAGCTAAGAGAGAGCACAGAGGGACAGAGGTGACAATATTCATCATCCTGTGAGTAGACAATGGCACAGCAGGTAACAGGCATGGACCAATTGGTGACAGGGAGCGAGGAGCTGTAACAGACAGCCCTTTGGCCTCCAAGGTCACCAGGAAGCTATTAAACATTCTTGCACAAGAAATGGCTTTCCAAAGATGTTGGATAAACAAAAGAGCAGACAAGAGGAAGAGAGTGGTGAGCAGCCCTGCCCAGGGTCCCTGCTGTCCCTGGTGACTCCCCTGTGCGGTGCTGAGGGATTCAGTCTACTTCTGAGCTGCCAAGATGGATAGGGACCTGTTGAGCTTCACCATGGCAATAATGAGGAGGCCACCAGTCAGCAGAAAGGTGGGCCAGAAGAAGGAGAAGAGGAGGATGTGGGGCCCATAGAGGCGCCGATACACAACACTGGTCTCGTTGACTTGAGGTGCAGAAAAGCAGTAGAAAGCACGGTGCTTGTGGAAATTGGCTTTGACTTTCTCCACATCAGCCAGGGCTGTCTGATAGTTGTCCAAGTTGTTAGGGATATAGGAACACTGTGGGAGAGAAGCAAGGGTGCTTAGATTTTCAAATTTGTACTTTTAAGAGACCCAGGGTGAGACTTTAGGGTATGAGAAAAAAGAAAAAGTGCTGGCTTGGGAGTCAGTCCCTGGAGAGCATGGTTGGTATCTGTGCATGGATGTTGGCCTCGGTACCAGTCAACATGATGCTGCACATCTGGATGCAGGGCTTGATTGGAGGCCTTCATCTGCTTCTATTTGCGTGAAACCACAGACAAATTGCTTGCCCTCTCTGAACCTTCATGATTTCATTACTGAGATGGTTTAATGATATCACAGTGATGGGTTTGAAAGAATCATTGGTCATACAAGTCCAGAGACAAAGGAGGATCCATATGCAAGCTCACAAAGGTAACACTGAGAAATGAAGCTAGGCAGGCAATGACAGGGACCAACTAGCATCTGCCTCAGTGTCAGAGAGAATGGTCACCACTCCTTCTGGGCAATAAACACCACACTATCCACCAACATGTCCAGAGAAGCCAAAAACCCTGATTTTATTATGAACTCTCAGGATTTCAAAGTACTGGCTAAAATTCAAGTAGAAGACTCTTTGAAGTCTAATCTTGTGTGAACCAAAGAAAATATGTTGGCAAGCGGCTCCGTGGCAGGATCCAAAAGAAAGAGAAAAAGTGCAGAAAGGAGCTCCAGGCAGGCAGAGCATGGCACGCATTTAAACTCTGGCACTGGTAGTTGCTATTAGGAACCTTCTGGCCTGTGAAGATGATGAGACCCAGCTGCAAAGCTCTGGAAAGACAGCCCAGAGAGGAGACCTGCCTTTTATCTCTCTGTGCCGGAGGGACTGGGTGCTGCCTGTGAACCTGAAGAGATCCTTTGCAAGGGTGGGCCTCTCTGTAGACCTGCAGTAGAATACAAGGCGTGCCCATCAGCATAGGCGCCTACCCTTGTGGGGTACAGACACAAAGGAGTAGGGATGTTCAAGGACCACGATCTAGTAAATCATGTCCAAGGTCAAATATGTAAACGTGAAGCCCGTTGGGCAAGCATTGAGCTCATGTCTCCCCTGGGCATCAGTTACCACCCAAGCTGTCCGCCCTGCTGGCAACCAGTCCAGCAGCATGAAGATGCTGTGTTGTGGTGCTGACGTCTGGGAAATAGGGGAGCTGCAGGTGGGTCAAATCCCCGGCGAGCCAGAGAATGCTGAAGCTCTTGGAGAATCTATCCTGCAGAGGTGCTGAGTGCTGCAGGGTGGTTAGTAGCAGGACTGTCACTGGGTAACCTTGCTCACTGAGCACAGAGAGGCAAGATTCAACCACAGCTTCCAGCTGTGTGACCTTGGCAACTGGCATAACCTCTTAAGCCTTGTCATTTGTGGTGGTGTCTTCCTGGACCTTCCCTGGGGAAATAACCTAGGAAGCTTATTTGTAAAGCACTTAGCAAGAGCCCAGATCGCATGATATCAAAAATGGAAGAAATAATAACAATAATAGTAATAATAATAAAATAATCATAATAGTAATAATAACAATGCTGTTTTATCTATGAAATTGGAGTAACTGCTGCTTTCCCATTTAAAGCATGAGCTCTGTCTGTATTCTTGATCTATTTGTCAAGACTCCAGCCAGGAGTTTACTTTCCAGGGCCAAGCCAAGGCCTGGGACATTTTACCCCTCTCTGCCTGTCCTGGTACAACCAGCCGTGAATTATCTGCTCAAGCTGAAATGATGCCACCCCTGCCTCTCTGAGGCTTCACCTTCATTACCATAGGCTGCAAAGAAGGATTTAGAGCCCCTTCCCTAAACTGCAGTTGATGGGAGGAGACAAGAGCAGTCATTGGAGGAGGAGTGAGAGCCTGACATGTCCAGAGGGCAGGCTACCCACCTGGAACATCAGCCAGCCACACACCTAGATGCTAGACTAGAGAACAAAATGTGCTTGACTGTCCCAGCATGGCAGGCTGCTCTTAGCTTTCTGTTCATGGTCTGTGGGTGCTGTGGTTTAACAGCCTCTCCTTCCCTCCCTAGAGGAGAAGTAATATATGCTGTTCACAACTCAAGCATGGTTCAGGCTAGCTTTTGGCTCCTCTGGGCTGGCAGCCTCAGGATGAGGAAGGTGCTTTAACCCAGTGTACCAGGAGAATGGCACCAAAGCCACAGCATCTCATCTTTGAAAATGTTTTTCCTCAATCCTGGGGTAAAGTACGGTTCCTAGATGCCAAAGAAGAAGCAGGAGCCAATGGAAGCTAATCCTTGTTGGCCTTCAGGTTCTTGTCCCACACAGTCATGCTAATGACCACAAGTCTGACTTCTGTACACTGTCACCCCTTCTTTCTGTGCCCACAGACCCCCACCCCAAACACACACACACGCGCGCACACACACACAGCACCTTGCCCTTCCTATTCAGTCAGACTCAATTCTTAACAATTAGTATCATTCTTGAGACAAGTCTCCCCCCTGTCTTGGGGACTGCTATGGCCCAGCTTCCATCCAGTAACCCACCCTACATGGCTGCTGGCTCTGTCTTTTCAGCATCACTTGAGTGGTGAACCTTGGCCTAGATTCGTTTAGGGAGCTCTGTCCACTGATGTATACCCAGGGATTCTGCCTCAGTTGGTTGGTGTAGAACTCTGGTTTTGTTAAGTATAGATGGTGATCATACATAGCTAGGGTTGAGATGCCCCAATTTATATGCTAATGTTGATTCCATGGTTAATGCAGAAGTCCTCTGAAAACAGACCTTACACCCTTCTGCCTGTCTTGGCCCCTCCATCAGGTAGCATTTCTAGAATCAGTCTTCTAGTCAGTGCTTTGGCCTAGCCTTCTCCACCATGTCCATGCTAGGTCCCACCATTGCTATGCCTCCCTCATTCCATGTTTCTGTGGCTACAGAAATTGTCTTTTTGAAAAGCCTGACCCAACACTCCTCTGATCTGGGCCTCACTGACAACTGGAAAATACTGCCTCCTCCCTTGAGCCCCATCACTCTTCCTGCTGTTCTGTGGCCCCAACCCTCCTTACTATTAGTGTCCCTAGGTAAACTCTCTCCTCTTGAGAGCCATGTGCCTGACTTGGGAAGGCTCAGTTGTTGTTGAATAAGAGGGGGAAGTGAAGGAAAGGAGAGGAGACTAACCTGCCTGTGCGATGGGCAGGGCTATGTGGTAATTGGCAGCAAGGTGGGGTGCACATGAGGGAAACTTGTTTGTGATGGAGCTTGCTGCAGCCCTGGTTCCCAGATGGTCCATGGATTTGCCCAGCTCCACTGTTGATGGAAGCAGCAGCCATTAATGACTGCTTCTCCTCTCTGAGTGCCCACCATTTGCCAACAGTGGGCTTTGCATGTTGGTCATAGCACTGGACTTTGGTATAGCCTTTCTGGGTGTAGCATCAGCACCCATTTATAAGGGTGGAAACTGAGACTCGCAGGACCTCAGTGGCCTTTCCCCAGCTGCACATCCAATTAGGGGCAATTCAAACCACCCAGATCTGTCCAACATGAAAGGTCCGAGGCTAACTCCACCTCATATGAGGCATAAGACCCCATTTAGGTTAATTGATATATCTCGGCTCTGGAGACATGGGCAGCTAGGGACAAGCTCACAGACCTGCTAGGGCTAATATGCCCAGCCCCCATTCGTTACCTGCTGGTTTTGGTCCCGAGTGTCCTCTGTGTGATACAGCATGGCCCATCTGCCCACAGCTGATACATTGACCCAAAGGCATGGGTACTGGGGCACCTTCTTGCCTTCTAGCTCTTCATAGTTCTTGATGTTGGTTTCAATCAGGTAACAAGTGGATTCCTGAGTCCACACACTGGGAAGACAATACACACACACAAACACATACCTTAGAACAAGGGTGACACACACTCACTTTGAATCCCTGGTTCCCAGAGTCTTTGGAGAGGCCCAGAGGAGGGACCTTCATCTTGCCATGGGCATGTATTAGTAATACCAACTAGGTCCATGGCCCTATTCCTGGACTCTGGGATAAACACAAAAATTCCAAAGTGGTCGACTCGTGGACATTTTCCACAAAATTGTTCTCTCGCCTTGTTACCCACCCCATACTTGAGACCTTAAAAAAAAGATCCCCATATCTGAGTCCCACTGTAGAGAAAGTGATGCATGCAGAATTTCTCAGGTGCTTGGGTCCAGGCTCTGGTGTTGTTTAAAATGCTTGTCACAATCACAATCCCAGATTGTGATAAGCAGACAATCCTGAGACCTTCTTATCCATATCACCTCCAAGTCACAGGTAGAGTCAAAAACTTCAGATGGGAAAAGTGACCATTGGAGGGACACACAGCACCTGAGGCAAGGGCTGAGTAGCTCCAGAATCTCTGCCCTTTCCCCTAAAAGAGAGGAACTGTATCAGGGCCTTGATATGGTCAGGGCTGGAGGGTGGCAGGATGGAGCTAGGAATGCGCAGGACTGGTCAGCAGCGCCTCACTTGGGTGAGACTCTGGCCTGGCGTGACTGCAGAACTGTAAAGCTAGAGTGCGGAGCAGGCCCAGGAGACACCAACAGACTCGTCAACTCCTAAGATATAGGGATTGTGACTCAGCTCACTGTATCCTGTGAGAGATCCACTATCAGACTGGAGAGGATTATCAGGAGCCAGAATATGCCCAGAGGGAAGTCGTGAGACTCAGCAAAGGGTGGCCTGGGAGAGCGCTATGTGTCTGTTCCAAAGACAAGAATGATCAGGAACTCCACAGCTCTTCTTTAAGAGCTGAAGGGATGACAAGCCACGGAGCGAGGCATGAGGGGGCAGAGCACTCTCCAAGATTCCTGCCTAGAATTTGGGGGAACAGATGTCGGCTCAATGCAGAAACTCCCTACTTATAGGAAAAACCCAGGCAGGGAGAGGCGTGCTTGGCAAAGAGGAAGCTCCCATCTCAGAGTCTGCCATTTCAAATCTCCCTCAAGGACCACACTATCACTGGAGTACTGTTTCTTATGGCAAGGCTATCATATAGCTGTCATGACCAGGTCCCAGGCAGGCAAGGCTCTTACTGGTCTGTTCTCCCAGCACTGGAACCCCCAGCCTAAGGATGAGAGATGCCTGGTCTTTCCAGACTGCTGTGATGGGTCAAGGGAAGTGCAGGGAGATGCAGGCAGTGGGGAGGTCCATACCTTTTCTGGTAGAGGGGCAGCACAGTGGTACCCAGGATGTAGTAGGTGATGGCGGCACACACTACCATTGCCACCCCTAGGCAGAGGGCTCGGGTCTCTCCACGCTTCTGGGCCATCACCAGCTTCTTACCCATGGTCAATGGAGGCAGCAGTCATTTCTAGCACCATGAAAGCAAAGAGTAATGAGACCAGCCCAGGTGATAGGTCCGAAGAAAGGAGGACGGGCAAGAGAGGGTGTAATCAAATACCAACATCACTCTTATTAAACATGGAGCTTTGCAATTCCCATAGGGCTGTAACCTTATAAAGGGGCCTACCCTGGCCCTGGGCCTTCTGGAACAGCCTATGGTTACTTTTTAAATACTCAGGATCCATTATCACCAATTATCTCTCTGAAAAGCTAAGCACACTGGTCAGGGCTTTTCTTGTGGTGCCAGCTTCTTCCAGCGAGCCCTCCTAGACTCCTGAGCATTCTCAAGACAGTAGGAGCCTGGTGAAGGCTAGAGTGTGGGAGGTCAGAAGGACAGGAAATGGAAACAGCTGTTTCAGACGGTCCCAGCTCCTGTAATCTTGTCCCAGTGCCCCCTGCCTGTGATGTGCCAATAGAGCTAGTTCTAAATGAAGCATCAGCTCCTGGGCTCCATCCTGAGATTCTGTTTAACTGTAAAACGTAGGTGGGAATCTGGGATTCAGTGGGTTGAATGAGAACCTCTAGCAGGAAGAAGTAAGCTTGGATATCCAGTGTGGCCTAAGAGCAGAAGAAATGGGCTTTCATGATTTAAAAAAGAGAGGTTTCAATTGGACTACAGGGAGACTGTCCCAGTTGTAAGATAAATGTCTCAGGACTCCTTGGGGGGAACTTTCTGTTGTAGCGATCACCCTAGGTCTAGGCTGTATTTAGGAAAGTTGGAAAAGGGTTAACGAAGAGCCTTGTGTGGCTTAACTGTTGGGTTGACAACCTCTTCCTTAGAAGGACTGGGAATAGAGTGTGGAGGGGTTTGGGGGAGTGTGGAGAAGGTCATTCAGACATGAGATCAAGTCCTGGTTTCGCTGCTTAGCAACCACGTGACTGTAAAAAAAAATAGTACCCGCCTCAAAGTCCCGATACAGATCTACCGACACTGTCACAAATGTCCTGCCATGGAAGCCCTCCATAAACACTAGCTATCATTAACTGAAGAGCCGAAAAAGCTTGGGGCACTCTGCCAGGCCCGTTTGGCGTCCCACCCCTCTACTGAAGACAAGTGGCAAGACTGATCCTGACCTCCAGGCTGGCCACTAAAGAGACATGCCAGTACTCTGGTGCCAGAACTCTGACGGGCAGCAGGAGAGGTGAAGGGAGGAGGATTTCCATCAGCCTACCCATGCCACCACAGACTGCTGTCTCCCACCAGCTCCCCAGAGCCCCACTGTCCCAGAAGCCCTTCCCAAGTGCCTGGGATGTACTCACAGTTCCCTGGGTCTCCGCTGGCAGATGGTTTCTCTCCACCCGCCCCCTGCCCCCACCCCAAGTCAGGCCTGGGAGCTCTAGCAGGAAGTTTAGTCTCCCCGTTGGTCTCCAGGGAAGCAGTCTTCAGTCCCATCTGGGTTGAACCTCCATGCCCAAACATGGTCAAGTCTGAGCACACAGCTGGCCTTGGGACTAAAACTCCACAAGCAGGTACATACCCTGGCAGCCCTCGGCTACTATAGGGGACGCTGCCCCCTGCGTTTACCACAGACTCCTGGGAAACAGATTTCAGACAGCAAAACCCATTACCCACCCTGACATATACAGAAATGTTTCTTCTACACTCCGTCTCTTGGGCTGGCAGAGAAGCCAGGAATAGGAAATGATCTTTCTTGTGTGGTGCAGGGGAGGGAGGTAGAGGGGTTGGGCTTGTCACTAACCCCTGGTATATCCACAGCAGAGCAGCTGAAGACACCCGCTTTGTCACTGACATCCTGTGTGCCTCCAAACAAGGCGTGGCACCTCTCTGGACCTCAGTTTTCTCCCTTCTATCATTAGCATTTTGAAAACTTAGCTTTGTTCAGGAGTGTGAGGAAGCTAGAGATGGTTGAGTCCAGAGAAGGGAGGAAACTCCACCTTTTAAGGACCACGGGAGCTGAGGCTGGAAGTAGTGGGCCCCACAGCTGCTTTCAGCCAACCATCCAGGTCCAGGGACAGGGCCCAACTGGGGACCTCCCACAGGCTGACTCTGTCTTAAACCCAGAGAACTGTTGCAACCAATGAGGCAACTGAACATCGGTACAGCTAGCAAACCTGCTTCTGCACCTGATCCTTGTGGATAGAGAGAGTGCTGTAAGAGTAGAGATGAAAAAGCAGGAAGAACACACACACACACACACACCTCACACATACACACCCCCACACACACTTTGGCACTTTGGTTTCCTGCTAGGCACCTGAGGCTGGCAGACTTGAAGGCTGCTGCAGAGTCTCTCTATTTGATGGGCAGAGCCAGATTAGAAGTTAGTCCTTCCCAGTGGCAAAACCCAACCATTCCTGCCCACCGAGGAACTCCTCCAGTACCTCATATCATACCTCTGACCCTAGCCACCTAAAGTTCTAAAGGTCACCTCTGGGGTCCTTTAGACAGCCCTAGAGCTGGCAGATGGGTGCAGCTTAGACATTTCTGCCCATTGATTGTTCCCACCTCCCACTTAAGCCTGCCACCTGATGATGATGAGGGCCTGGTGAGGCCCGGAAGGAAAGCTGTCACTCAGGGATCCTAGATACTCTGTTGGTGAGCACCATTACCACTGACTCTTCCAAGAGTCTGTTTAATGGGCCTCATAGCAAATGGAGATTTTATTAGTGGGTATTGCATGCACGCATGTGGTGTCTGTATGACTTATGCATGTGTGTTTGGATAAGTCTGGTGTGTGTGTTATGTGTGTATGGTATGTGTGTATGGTATGCTTGTATATGTGTATGTGTGTTTGGTATATTCATACATGTGTACATACATGGAGACTGGGTCGGAACAGTTGGTGTTCTGCTCTATCACGCTCCACCCTATAAAAGACCTTTAAGCCAAGCAGTGGTGCACACCTTTAATCCCAGCACTCAGGAGGCAGAGACAGGTGGATCTCTGTGAGCTTGAGGCCAGCTTGGTCTACAGAGCGAGTTCCAGAAACTCAGTTTGGGGACAAAAGGAAAATATTTCACTGAACCTAGAGGTAGGCAGATGGCTAGCAATTCCCTGCAATCCTGTGTCCCCGCTGCTCTTAGTGCTGGGGGTGCAGATATGCACCCAGCTGTGCCCAGATTTTTACACGGCTACTGGAGCTTTGAACTGTCCTCATTCAGGCGCAGCAAGGTGTCTTACAGCCCCACAGACAAGGATGTCTTCAAGCATAGGAGACAGGAAAATTGACGATGAAGGGGGAATATAGATCTGAGATTAGTCCTTAGGAGAAGGATTTTCCCTTGGTGGGTCATGATTCCTTGGTTCCTTGGTTCCTTCAAGGCCCAGAAGCTTTCTACTGGAACCTACAAACTCACTTAGAAAGTCCTGCTCCCGCTGAGAGAGAGAGAACAGGATGAAACAGAGAAGGCACCCTACTGAGCCACAACCAAATGGCAAGTTCAATCCTTGCTCTCCCTCTAAGGTAACCTAGTGAAAATCTTGGATCATGGTTGACTATAAGAGGATTAGGGTTAGTGTTTGGTGGTGGTGGTGGTGGTGGTGGTGGTGGTGGTGGTGGTGGTGGTGGTGGTGGTGGTGGTGGTGTGTGTATATGAGAGAGAGAAACAGAGAGGAGAGAGAGAGAGAGAAAAAGAGAGAGAGAGAGAGAGAGAGAGAAATGGCCACAAGGCAAGGAAACAATGGTGTCATGCCTGGAAATAATGATGATTCTTGGAATGTCAGAAATCATGGAATGCCTCCAACATCAGCCTTCCAAGAACCTCTGTGATAGAACGAGGCTTAAAGCATTCCTCTGAAGCAGAGGCTTTCTGTCCATTTTATAGGGATGTGGCTGAGGTTTAGGGGTTTAAGTTGCTTGAGGCAAGTCACCTGGAGCCTCATTTGTAATCTCCAGGAGGGAGATAAATTCCCCATCCACCCTGTGTAACTCTTAAGATATGGGAATTCATCCAAGAACCTGGCACATAGTGTTGAAACAGAGACAGCCATTCCTCATGCCATCCAGTCTCTCTACAGAGAGAGCTCTGTCACTGCCCACCCAGACAACAGAATATACTGGTGGGGACACGGCCTGCCCGCCAAGGCTAAGTCCTACCTGAGGCCACAGCATCCGCTGAGCACCTTCTCTGGGACACTCTCAGGGGAACCAACCCCCACTCGGCAGGAAATCGGTCGCACCCACGCAGGGTTCCAGTCCTGAGCTTAGAGTCCTCTCTAAGCTAAGGTCTCCCGCTGAGGACTTGGACCACAGAGCAGAGGCAAACTAACCCTCAGGCTCTCTGAACTCCAAATCCGCAAATCCAAGAGAAGAGTTAAAGGAGCAGTTAGTGTCTCGGATATGCTTTGGGGAGATTTCTTGCCCAGCTGTCATAACTGGAGCGAGCGAATGGTAAATGATTTTAAACGAGGTGGTCCCTGTTGCTCCTGCATGGAGCATGGAGCATGGAGCCAGTAGGAATCAAAAATCTGAAGTGACTGTATTGAATGGCAATGTGGAACTTAGAACACTAAATCTACCCTCCCATCGACTCACAATGCTGCACAACTGGAACAGAAGGGCAGCCAAGAGAGGGTGTTGATTAGCTGAACATCTACAGTGTGCCAGGTCGCGGGCTATTAGTCAGCTTCTCGTGGATGATAGGCTTGGTTTGGACTCGGGTTCCGAGGCTTCAGCTCTGGTAGATAGGCTGCGTTGCCTGTAGGACACCGGAACACTGCACAGACGGGAGCGTGTACTGGAGGGCGCCGCTCGCTTCAAGAGGGACATGGTGCAAACAGAGAAAGAGTCCAGAAACACAGAGATGATACACCCTTCCAAATCCCCAGTAACCTACTTTCTCCCATTAGGCCTTGCTTCCTAACATTTCTACAACCTTGCAGTAGCGCCATCTGCTGGTGACAAAGCCTTCTAACCGCGAGAGACATTAAAGAGCCGAGTCAGAGCACAAACCTGTATAGAACAGGGTCCTCCCTTATTCTGCTTCAGTTACCCACGTGGCTTAGTTAGGGGTTTATTGCTGTGAGAAGACACCATGACCACAGCAAGGCTTATAGAGGAAAACTGGGGCTGGCTTACAGTTTCAGAGGTTCCGGGCTTTATCTTCATGGCGGGAAGCATGGTGGCATGCAGGAATACGTGGTGCTGGAGGAGCTGAGAGTTCTACATCTTGATCCAGCAGCAGGCAGCAGAAGTGGCTACGAGACACACTGGGTGTGGATCCAGCATATGAGACCTCAACGCCCACCCCCAAAGTGACACACTCCCTCCAAAAAAGGCCACACCTACCCTAACAAGGCCACGCCCACTCGAACAAGGCCACACCTACTCTGACAAGGCCACACCTCTTAATGGTACCACTCCCTGTGGGCCTACGGAGGCTATTTTTTTTTTATTAATTACACTTTATTCACTCTGTTTCCCCCCATAAGCCCCCCCTCCTCCCCCCCCCATCCCCCCCCCCCTCCCGTCTCTGCACGCATGCCCCTCCCCAAGTCCACTGATAGGGGAGGTTCTCCTCTCCCTTCTGATCTTAGTCTATCAGTTCTTGTCAAAAGTGGCTGCACCGTCCTCCTCCGTGGCCTGGTAGGGCTGCTCCCCCCTCAGGGGGAGGTGATCAAAGACCAGGCCAATCAGATCATGCCAGAGGCAGTCCTTCCTCCCATTACCAGGTAACCCACTTGGACACTGACCTGACATGGGCTACATCTGTGCAGGGGCTCCAGGCCATCTCCATGAATAGTCCTTGGTTGGAGTATGAGTCTCTGGGAAGTTCCCTGTGTTCAAATTTTCTTGTTCTGTTGCTCTCCTTGTGGAGTTCCTGTCCTCTCCAGCTCTTACTATTTCCCACTTCTTACATAAAATTCCATTCACTCTGCCTGACAGTTGGCCATCAGGCTCAGCATCTGCTTTGATCGTCTGCAGGGCAGAGGCTTTCAGAGGCCCTCTGTGGCAGGTTCCCAGTTTGTTTCCTGTTTTCTTCTTCTGGCTTTCAGAGGCCCTCTGTAGCAGGTTTCTAGGTTGTTTCCTGTTTTCTTCTTCTTCTGATGTCCATCCTCTTTGCCTTTCAGGATGGGGATTGAACCTTTTAGTTAGGGTCCTCTCTCTTGCTTTGTTTCTTTAGATGCATAGATTTTAGTGGGTTTGTCCTACATTGTATGTCTATATGAGTGAGTATATACAATGTGTGTCTTTTTGCTTCTGGGACACCTCACTCAGGATGATCCTTTCCAGGTCCCACCATTTACCTGCAAATTTCGTGATTTCCTTATTTTTCATTGTTGAGTAATATTCCATTGTATAGATGTACCACAATTTCTGCATCCATTCTTCA